TATAAGCAGCAAATAAAATGCCTTAATGCAGGAAAACCGTGGGTGATAGAAAAAATCGAATGCTATTTCCTGCTGTTTGGGTACGTTTGTCACAAAAAAATGTTAATTTTGTTCATCAGTGAAATCGTACTGCTTGCAGTACTGCAATTTTCTCCACCCACAGTGCAATGCATCGTGCTGCAGCAGATCATCAAATTGTGGCATGAATTGCAGTGTATTATGCTTATAGTAAATAGACAATCTAGTTGTTAACGAAAATAATTGTGGTTATGTCTTCATGAATATCAAAAAAAAACTGCAGCCTTTACAGTTGCGATTTTATTGATTGAAGAAGATGATGAGAAACCAACGAAAAAGAGAAAATCGTGTAAACAGGTTGTTGGATAGAAACAAATATTAACATATGAGGTTATTGAAAGAACTTAAAGAAAAAGAACCACTCGACTTTAAAAATTATCGTAATCGTAACTGCGACCCTACACACGTTCCAGACGATTCAAATACTGCGTACTGCGAAGCATCCAATTTGCCTACGCACGTCACGCTTTATCGTTACTGCAGCAGTTTGGAGTAATGTTGTACTGCAGGGCTGTCCAACTTAATGTGGCCCAAGGGCCACTTCAAAAAAAAATGCAGTTTGGAGGGCCGCATTATAAAATCTTTCTATACAACATTATTACTGAGTTTTCATAGGTGTATACTATACTATATTTGAGAGTAATTTATACATGTGATGTATACATGACCCGTGAAGCGGGCCGCAAGAAAGGAGTTGGACAGCCCTGTTGTACTGCATGCAGCACGAAAAAGCGTTGTGTGTGTAATGCCCTCTCCAGACTCACGCGCGAATCGCGCACAGTGTTGCGAACTACCCGCGACTGATGAGTTTAGATCCCATTCACATATTCTTCGCAGCTTCATGTCGCGTTCACGCGTTGTTACCGTTTGTTGTCGGTTTTTTGTCCCGCGACAAAGGGTTCGCCAGATGCGAACATATCGCGAATATGACTAAGCTCCTCCAAATGTGGAACTGTAGGAACAGTTTCCGGGATTCGCACCGCGATTTCACGCCGTGATCCGGGCGTGAGTGTGGAGAGGGTATTAGGCGTTTTAGAGATGTATTATAGAGGTCCTCATTCATTCGCCATGTATTTTTAATTTTTATTCTGATGAAAAGAGTTTGGTTAACAGTCTGTAATGTTCCACCTCTTGCTGGTAATTGACGGGATGTTGGATAAATTCACAATATGTCCCCAATATGGTTAGCTGTTGGGACAAAGACACTGCGAGGAAAGTGTCGTCCAAGTGTGTCTAGTTTGTTGTTCGAGTCACAGAGCGTGCGGATCGATTTTGTTAAAGGTGTAGGTGCTACCCTCAATTACTCGCACAAGAAAATTTGGTTGGCGGAGGCAAGCAACAAACAAAAGGATAAGACGCACTTTTAATGTTCTCTTTGACGGGATATTTCACAATTTGACAAAATGGTTAACTGCTAGAACATAGGCATTGCGAGGAAACTTCCTCTAAGGAGGTCTGGTTGTTCATGCAGCGGAGCTTGCGAAGAGTTTTTTGTTGGAGGTGCAGGGCCTACCGTCAATTACACACGAAAACGACAGTCTTTGATTACGCTGGAGCAAACATCTTCGGTAATTCTTGATGGGGCATTGCACAATTTGGCAAGTGTGGTTAGCTGCTTGAACAATGACATCGCGGATAAATCATCCAAGTGGGTCAAATTGTTCCCGTGGCAGAGCGTGCAGAGAGCTCTTGTTGGAGGTGGCAAGTTAAACCGTCAATCATTTACACTGGAATACACCAAAACTACAAGGCTAATTTGTCATTAGATTTTTCAGAAGACACTATACCTCTATCGTGAGAAATGTTTCTCAAGAAAAGTATTTATTGCAATCAGCCTACTTGACGCCATATTTTTGGTACGCACTGTTTAAATAACTGTCATGCATCTCTTAAGAAGTAAGCAGCCTAAACAAATTTTAACTGCTTATATCAGCCCTTTATTTTTTTCAAGATCTATTTTATAGAAACACGTGGGCTGATACATGAGTATTATTATTCATATACGTAATTTTAAAACATTATTTTCCTAGCAAAAAATACAAAGTTCGTTCACGTTACGTGATTTTCAAAATATGCAGATACACCCGTACATTGCTCTTCAAGGCTTTATGAAATGTTATTCACTGAATAGGTTAAGGGCAAAACCACACCTCATGCCATTGACACAAATCATCAAAAGTGTATAATTTAGTTATAGCAGGTCTACGCACTTATTTCACACGATAATTTGATAAACTTGATTTTGTCTGAAATTTTGCAAATGTACTTAACATTTTTAACAGTCTACAAAATTAAGAGAGTTGTCGAATTTAGGTTCAGTATCTATGCTGATAATTAGTTATAAATATTTTCTAATCATACAAAAGATAAATATATTAATATCCTTCAAATGTTGGCATATTTTTCAGTAGAATTCTGCAAATGACAGGGTTTTTAATCCCCAAATATTAATTAATTTAGACCATATAAACATGTCAAAATTATACCTATATTTTTATCAGCTGGTTTTAATATTTAAAGTGAATTATCACTATTTTTGTTTTTGCTTAAACGTATTCAGTCGCTAAAATAAGAGGAATGTGGTAACACTAAAATGAAAAAGGATGTACTTGTACCAAATGTGATCAAAATGAACCTGGAAAAACTGGACATTTTTGACGGACAGAACTCACCACTTGCTTATCGCTTTAACAAGAAGGCGTTGCTTAAAAATGCAACCCAGTAGGGTAGAACATAATTTATTTAAATACTATTAGACATTAATGTACCCCAAAAGAGAGAAAAGAAAGTCTAGTGAATTATGTATAACTGATTTGTGAGTGAATCTGGGCCCAGTATAAGTAAGGGAGTGTGGAAAATGTTGATATAAATGAGACCACATATGGCCATTAACAAATTATTGTTCTGCAAAGAGCAAAGCTAGTAACTGTAATAAAAATCTTATATCAGTAGTACCACATGAATATTATATTTATTTTAATCACTATAAGCGAAGCGGATGATGTATTATCCACAAATCCAACTTATGTAGAATGAGAAGTTTGTAATATCGATTATTGTGTAACTTCACTACTGTAATGTAGCAAAGCTACAAGTACACGCTCTTGCGTTTATTTAACCCAGACTCGTAAAAACTATTATAAGTTAATCTGTTAAGGTTGAAGAAATACTTGTATTGTCATGCTCTTGAGGGAAACATGTATTTGTGAGCGCCACAGAACAAAATAATGTAAAAGCCTAAAATTCTACTGTTTGATTACAAATTTTATTCTGCAAGATGTGTTTGTTTTAAGTTGTGTATTATTATGTTTGTGATGTTTGACTTATTCAAAATTAAATAAACGTGTTAAATTCTGTTGATCTACCGCACACTTCTTTGTTCCATGTATCTACCACACAATGAGCCGAACCACTGAGGGGCAACAAGAGAGACTAGATGGAGCCTAACACCAGAGGAAAGCTATTGGTGACTAGAGTCTGCCAGCATGAAATGTCAGTACACGCAGGGACTGCGAAGGCAGGTTGCAGTACTCGTAGCAGTGCAAAACAGGTTCCTGTTCTAGCCAGTCTGGATGCCTGGGGCATCAACATGCAAGAGATGAGAAAGGAGGAGGAGGGGAGCAGTACCCCTTTAAAACAACCAGGGTTCAGCTGGCCCGGCTGATAGCACCCTGTAAGGGCCCCTGCCTAGGGTACAGGTGAATATAAAAAAACAGAAAGAAAGATGAGCCAAACCACCGACAGATAATTCCCAGTGCAAACTGTCAAAGCCAATACGATAAGTTGTCAAGCGATACCTATCACATAGGCTTTGAAATGGCAAAACCTTTGTTGTGGCATCCAAACGCCAAAACTTAGTACATTATATACAGAAGGCAAAGTAAGCAGAGGTTAATATACTGCTATGGGTGTTACGAGCAGGAGAACCACAAGTATACTCCAGGGCAATTTTACTAGTCACCAGAAGGCCAAACACCAAACCATTGCAGCTTGGTTTCCAGTTTCCAAGAACCAACCTCGATGTTGCCGGATAAGAAAATCAAGGCATAGCAAATCCCGACGTGCACCAGCGCAAAAGTAACAGTGGCTGACTCAGAAAAATTGTGTGGGACAGAAGGAAAATTTAATTGAATTGTAATTTATCATATATATTGTACATTTTTCATGCTGGAGGACCAGCTTTATTCAGACGGAGGAGAAATGTCACGAGTGACCAACCTGTAAGCCTTAACACGCGCCGGCTCGCTAGCTTACGAACAGATATCCTAAACCACATCCGCTGACGGGTATGCACAATCAGCAATTTTGTTTCCTTATTAGCCGAAGTGGGGATAAGATTATTATGAAAACTAGTTGGGCTGGCACGTGAGGGTATTCCCTTTCTGGAGGCAGTTCCTCTCGTATCATTCTTCCCTGCGAGAGGATTAGCTGAGCTCTACTGTGTTGCTAGAGTAATTACCTTTTTATATGTTTATATTAATAGAGTTTCTTTGTGAGTACTTGCGACTATATGTTCTTTTAACAGTCCTTTGCAGCGCCAAGCGAGATTGCTCAGTCTCGAGCAACTAACCCCCATGTCACAATCGTGACAATATGCTCTTCTCAATATAGAACGTGCTACGTAACAGCTCGCACTGTTAAATATGTCCGGCCATTTGGTCAAAGGTGTGCTTGGAGTCATTTTGTATTTATTTTTTTTTCAGGTTTGTGGATCGTGTCGTCCGTGGCAAATTATATCACTACGAAAAAAGGGTAAGAATTGTGCTTTAACTGCGAGTTACTAGTCAACTTGTAGATAGCCCTCTAGTTAAAGTAAAATTTCGTCTTAAGCCATGGTGCACACTGAAAAATGCGCGTTGAGAATAAACTTCTGGTTTGCAGTAAAATGACAGTTACCTTACGAATAAAAAATCGGGCCTTACCATTTGGAAAGCAGCTGTTCTGAATAGCTTTCAGTCCCTTGCATCAAACCAGCAAGTGCTAAATTCATTAGTAGCATTAGGAAGCCACCACCAAACATGATGTATTTTTTGTAAGTACTATATTTGACTTCCCCTTTTTTCTTCACTTCAAAATATACTTTTTTCTTTGTTGTTTGTTCACACTCCAATAAGGACTTTTCTTCTCCATCCTCTTTCACAGCCTTAAATCAAAAAACAAACAAAAAATACCAATAGTATAGAATTTTTATTACTGCTGGAATTCGCATAAAATCCACTTACAGTAACATGATACAGAATTCTAACAAGAGTGTTACGGTCATACTGATAATTTTAGTTAGCTTAACACTCTTTAGATTTGATATGTACTATACTAAGTGACATATAAATCCGAACACCCAGTTTAAATGGCTTTATTTTAATAAAAGTTGGTGAATGTATTTATCTTACTGTAAATAACAAGTGAAAAAATGTTCAGCCTTATCAGTTGGACATTCCGGTTTTTATACTGCTATTTTTTAATTCACTAACGCTCTAAAAATGAATATTTCAGCCGCAGTAAAGAATCAACGTTGGCGGATTTTGGTTCTTGACATCCTTTACGATCGGTTACGATGCCTAGAGTACGGAGACCTGTACGATTTCGTCAACTTAGTGAGTTTGATAGGGGCCGTATAGTGGGACTTCGGGAAGCTGGACTTTCTTTTCGGGCAATTGCAGTTAGAGTGCAAAGAAGTGTAGACACTGTGGTTAGGTGTTGTCAGGCATGGCTGTGAGAAGGCCGTACGCAAAGAGCAAGGGGCACTGGACGCCGCCGTAGAATAACAGACCGTGAAGATCGCCGCCTAAAATTATTGGCCTTAAGGGACCGTTTCTCCAAAACCAGGTCCATTGCAAATGAATGGTTTGCAGAACACGGAAGACCTATTGGCATGCGAAGTGTTTACCGACGAATGAGAAGTTTTGGCTTGTTTTCATACCGGCCACACTGGGTCCTCCCTTTAACTCGAGAACACCGACGTAATCGCCTTGAGTGGTGCAGACAACGGTCACTCTGGGATCAGGAATGGAACATTATTGTCTTTAGTGACGAGTCTCGATTTTGTTTAGGCATGCACGATGGTCGTGCCATGGTTAGAAGGCGACGTGGTGAAAGGAGGAATCCACAGTTTTTTGTTGAAAGAGATGTTCATCACACTGTTGGAGTTATGATTTGGGGTGCTATAGCTTATGGTTCCAGGTCACCTTTAGCCTTCATCAGAGGTAACATGAACGCGCAGCGTTATAGCCACGAAGTTCTAGAACCCCATCTTTTACCCTATCTTGACACCCTGGCAGATCCAACTTTCCAACAAGATAATGCCCGACCACATGTTGCAAGAGTCACAATAGATTTCTTTCAACATAATGATGTCACATTGTTACCATGGCCACCAAGATCTTCCGACTTATCCCCAATTGAGCACGTGTGGGATATGATGGGTGGGAGATTTCTCAATTTGCAACGTCCTCCTCAGACTCTAGAAGCACTTCGAGAGGAGTTGGTGGTTGCCTGGAATGAGATACCACAGGAGGACATTGACCACCTGATCAGAAGCATGCCTAGGCGCGATGGAGAATGCGTAGCACATCAGGGTGCATCCACACATTATTAAAGATCAAAGGGCTTTAAAGCAGTGCAATCATTTTGAAATTTTTATCATTTACTTATTATGCTTCATTAAGTACTTATACAAAATTTTATTAAAATAAAACCATTTAAACTGGGTGTTCGGACTTATATGTCACTTAGTATATTTTCTGAAGGTGATTTCATACATTATTCAACTTTATCTGACTAAAATAGTCCCCAAAATGCCATTTCGCCATTTAGGGAGCAGCTTTGGGACCCTTTCACACCGACGGGTCGTCGGCGATCTATCTCTCTTCTACCGCTATGTCAACGGGCGTTGTTCCTCAGAGCTCCCCTCCATGATGTCGCCGTGTGATGTGCCCGTTAGACAGACTCACGTGACTTCGGCCTCCCATAACCGGCTTGAACTTCTTACATCCAGAACTGGTCGATAAGACCGCTCCTTTGTCCTTGGGGTATCTAGATTGTGGAACAATCTGCCTGAGCACGCTTTTCCTAACTTTAGGCTGCTCTAAAGTCGGATTAACAAAGTTTCTTTAAGCTCCTCATACCAGCCGTGGTACCCGGGTATTTGGACTTCTGCCTACCCGGCTGCTCCGCTATAAAAAAAATGATGTACCACTCGCACAGCACTGGTACCAAGACATAAGAGCAACACGTTGAGCGTCTAAACGCAAAATACTCGTTTTCAATGTTTCACATGATTATTGAAGTCAAGGTCTCGAAACAGTTGGTTCATTGTAGAGTTCTTATACAAAGCCTGCAAAAGACAGTTTAGCTATTTTATGCTTTGTCATAACTTCTATTTATACAAGGCTCCACAATTGTAACGACTGCCCTCTTCTTTCATAGATTTCAATTGGGAATAGAAATATTATACTACAAAATGTCTATTGAAACTATTTTTGATAGGCTTTAGGTCAACCTGAAAAATCACATCAGGCTGCAAATTTACCTCGTCCGGTTCTACAGATTTCTCTTTCACACCCTCTTTCTCCAAATCATCGTCCTTGGATACTAATTTATTGACTTCTTCTATCAATTTCTCGTCTGGCTTGCCACAAGACAATATTTTTCCTTCACTCATTATCACCACTGTGTCAGCTTGTTGGATATGGTTAGCTGTTTGTGTGACCAGCAGTACTATTTTATCCTTCAAATAACCCTGAAATTACAAAAACAATTTCCCGTTAGGCTCGTTCCACACCCTCCGATTCCTCACACACCAGAATGATCACTTATTTTAAGGACAAAATTTCCATTTGCTCATTTTTAAGAGCTTGGTACAAAGCTTAGGTACAATATTTCTACCTTAACACACTCATTGAAAATGTAGTCTTGTACATGGCCATCTAAAGCTGTGAGTGAATCATCTAAAAGGTATATCTCGCTATCCTTATATACAGCCCTTGCTAGGTTGACTCTAGCTTGCTGCCCTTTGCTAAGATTCAAACCCCTGTCGGTAACTATAGTCTGGTCTCCTTTATCCAGTAAATTGAAGTCAAATTCTAAAGCACAAGCTCTGATAACCTCTTGATACCTGAAATAAAGCCTCATGTTTACATAAGCATATCAAAAACCTGAAAATTATACAATTGTATTGAACATATAGAGGAAGTGCAGCATATTTGGAATACTGCAGGTAATTTGGAATACTTAGTTATCTCAATCAATGTAAATGCTATCTGTATTTTTTTTGCCGTGAATAGAATGTAAATCACGCGAAACCGTAAGTACTAAAAACAAGACGCCACCTTGACATTTCCTGCTACCAGCCCACGTCTACTTTGAAAACTTTTTCAGTAAGAATGCAATCATTGATAATCATTTACTATGATACGTAAAATGTTCATTGCAAGTATTTGAACTGTTATATGTTCTTGTTAGTTTACAATTTTATTTTCATTTCGTAAATATATTTAGAGTTAAAGATGTGACAAAGAATTTTAAGTCAGGATGTTATGTTGTCAATTTGGAATAGGTACTGTGCTTAATGTGCGAATTGTGGGTTCACGCGTGGTTATGAATCCAGTGTGTATATCTGTGATTATTGTAGGAACAGTAACTAAGAACACTGAACTATAACTCCAAGCTAAATACTGATTTGTGATTATTATGACTGATTACTTATTAATTAATACTTATAAGCTATTTTGTTAAACATTAATTACCAAAGACTGTAAAACGGCTACAAAGTTGAGAAATTTATCAGTTTCTCAGAAAGGTGTAAACGATTGTCAGCAAAAGGTTATCATAATTTGGAATACTATATTCCAAATTAGCTGCACCCTAAGTAAATTTACGCTTTTGTAGTTTTTTATTTTGATAAATATTTTGATTGGGCTCCTGGTCTTTGTTTAATTGCTTATATCATTAAGATTTAATAATTTCCCAATAATTTAATGCATTTTTTATTTTGCTATCCCGTTCATTTCCAAAAAACAAACCAGTATTCCAAATATGCTGCAGTTCTTCTATCTAAAAAGATATATATCAGAAGTAGCAATGGTAAGTAATAGGAAGAAGCTATAACAATTTCTTATTGAAGAAACGGCCACAAAGTTGAGAAATTTATTAGTTTCTCAGAAAGGTGTAAACGATTGTCAACAAAAGGTTATCATAATTTGGAATACTATATTCCAAATTAGCTGCACCCTAAGTAAATTTACGCTTTTGTACTTTTTTATTTTGAAAAATATTTTGATTGGGCTCCTGGTCTTTGTTTGATTGCTTATATCATTAAGATTTAATAATTTCCCAATAATTTAATGCATTTTTTATTTTGCTATCCCGTTTATTTCCAAAAAACAAACCAGTATTCCAAATATGCTGCAGTTCTTCTATCTAAAGAGATATATATCAGAAGTAGCAATGGTAAGTAATAGGAAGAAGCTATAACAATTTCTTATTGAAGAAACGGCTACAAAGTTGAGAAATTTATTAGTTTCTCAGAAAGGTGTAAACGATTGTCAGCAAAAGGTTATCATAATTTGGAATACTATATTCCAAATTAGCTGCACCCTAAGTAAATTTACGCTTTTGTAGTTTTTTATTTTGATAAATATTTTGATTGTGCTCCTGGTCTTTGTTTGATTGCTTATATCATTAAGATTTAATAATTTCCCAATAATTTAATGCATTTTTTATTTTGCTATCCCGTTTATTTCCAAAAAACAAACCAGTATTCCAAATATGCTGCAGTTCTTCTATCTAAAGAGATATATATCAGAAGTAGCAATGGTAAGTAATAGGAAGAAGCTATAACAATATCTTATTGAAGAAAGAAAGAAAAATAATGATTACCCCTATTACCTACTTTTTCTCTTCATACTTTTGACCAAACAAAATATTCTGTCTTATTGAAGAGGGAAAAAGCCAAGGGTCCTGTGAAGCATAAGAAATCCTGCCCTCCGTTTTCAGTTTTCCACTAGTTAAAGGGTAATCCTGCAGGATTGCTTTCAAGAGAGAGCTCTTGCCAGAACCCACAGTTCCTGTCACCAGTACCAGGCCAGATTTTATGTTCAAGCTTATATCTTTTAGTACATCTTGGTTTCCAATCCGGACAGAGCCTTCTTTTAGTTCGATATATGGCTTTGTTTCCTTGCAACAAGTAAAAGCTATCTCAGCATGGATAAACTTTTATTACATGGCAGCACTGGGTGCTCGGTAGTGCCTACCTAGCGAGGGACAACAAGCTTTGATATGATCTTGCATTTACTATTTTAACAAATTTTATGCTGCCAGGCAGGTAAAACCAATCCAGTGTTGCCATTCACACCAACGATTTGAATGATGGGTTTATTGAAACGTCGCCGTAGGCAACTTAAAAATTATATAAACAATTCCCTGAATCTACGTCCTCACAGAGCTAGGTACGCTAATGTGATCTTCGCATTCGTGGAATTGCTTCCGTCTGAGTTTAACTCTGACGTCATCTGGAAAAAGGAAAGTCTACGACCGCTCGCGCTGTGTATCAGACACGTTTGATTTTCAAACATTGGCTAATTGAGAGCGTGGCAGATTAAAATGTGTGGTGAAAAGGGTCCCAGGAAGAAATCAGAGTGATCTCCAGACATTCGAAGCATATTTTTAAAATCTTCAGGGTATCCATTTCCTAATGAAACATCTGCAAAATTGCGTTCCTACGAATTTATTCTTGCAAGTGTTCAATTCATGAACCTACAAAGCATTTTTTTACATAAGGCAAGAGACACGCCAGGGAGATCGCACGTGTGCCTCGCTGACGTGTTTTGCTCCATGAGAACGTAGCTTTAAATTATTTACATCTACATTTTCGTTGATAGTACCTAGCTTTTGTTTATTGATTAAAATTATTGTCGAGTAAAGTAAAAATGTTGCAACATCTCCTCTGCCATGAGCATTAGGTGTGCATATATTAAATAGCCGAAACTTCCGCAAAAGCGATAACATTGCCACAAAGTTATTTCCGCTGGCGTAATGGTGTAATAAGTAAAGGCTTGCGAATACTGTTGCAGGAATTTGGTTTTTCGGAAACCAGCCATTTCTTGAAAAACATCGAAAAACCCAAAAAACCACTTTTTCGTTGAAACGGCTGAAGATATCTGGGATTTACTTACACGTAAGGAGCCCGCAGCAAACTGTAGCCCGAAAACTAAGCAATTTGGCAAAAAGTTTGTAGAGACCTTTTTTGATGGTCCAAAAATTAGAAAAATTTGCGTGTAAAAAAATCTCAGATGTCTTCAGCTGTTTCAGCGAAAAAGAGTTTTTTTTCGGTTTTTCGATGTTTTACAAAAAACGGCTGGTTTCCGGAAAACCAAATTCTTATTTAGCAAGCCTTTATTACACCATTACGCCAGCGGTCATAACTTTGTGGCTATGTAAATACTGTTGCGGCAGACTACATAGCATATATTTTCCATGAATATTTTTACATTTTCTCTATTGTAACCATACAATCTTTCTGGCGTTCGTTATATCAGCTTATCCTTATCTTATTGTTCGATATACTATATAGTTGTAATCTCATATCCAGAGTTTTACTCGTACAATAACGTATGGTGATTCTGAAATTCAATATTATTGTTGATGATTTACCTTTGAGTACGTGTGCATGACGGGATGTAGTTCTTCGGCTGATATCACTTTGTTTATTCTCAACAACGCCGAGTAGCAGTCGGCCATCTTGCCCATTCCCCATGGAATACAAACGCCTATGTTATATTCCAAATCTTTGAATATCATCAAAATATAATACACTAGCTCGGTGTCAGTGTTAGTATAACCTAACCACACGTATGACATTATGAGGGCATAGAAACCTAGCTTTGAAAACAGAACTCCAACAATGATGAGAACTAATTTGAGAAATGAACCCCATAACATTGTGTTGACCTCTTTCCTGTAAATGAATTTACACATTAGTTGAGTATTGACAGATCACAGAAAAAATATATAGTCTGTTTATGCGCCAAAACACTGCTACATTATTTGCTAACATATTGCGATCAATGAAATACCTCGAAGAATAGCTCGTACAAAAATTATGTTTTCCAAAGTAGGATCTACGACTAACCCGACTTGACAAAAGTCATAAAAATTCTAAGGAGCCCTTTAGAAAGATATTCAACTTTTTAGCATGATGACTTCGAGCAAATCAGTTAAGTAGGTTTTTCTACATTTTTGCAGTTTGCCTAATTTTTTGTGCTATACTATCGGTGTCTGAATATACTAAAGCATGAGAAATATGAGAGGGACATTATTATATTTACTTTCTGGCATCCATGATTTTGTTCATGAAAAACTTCTCCCAAGTATACATTTTGATAATACGAATGGTTGACAAAGTCTCTTGAGTTACTTGCAATCTTTCATCTGACTTCCTCCCAGTCTTGAGTCTTAGTTTACTTAAGTACTTTCCAATCAAAACTAAAAATCAGAGAGCAGATTAATGCCTGGTTGCACGGCACTTGTAAGGTGTCTAGCTAAGCTGGTCCTTAATTTCGATAACTTTGTTGTACCATCCACTTAGAATTTGAGTGAAACAGACGAGCTAAGAATTCTTTGCTACAGGTGGAACCTAAAATTGTCTTTGGCTTTAACAAAGTATGAAAGTCTTAAATATAGATATACTGTCATATTGACATTCTTATCATGCGACCGTGTAGAGGAGAAGTGGCTATGTTATTGTGCAAGTTATTTTGAAATCCCACTTCGAATTTTCACGTTTTGGGAAAATTCGTCTTTTTCCGTCTGTATCTAGAAATACTCTTGCGAAACATTATACCCTCATATTCCTGCGAAAAGTCACAAAGTGACAGTTTATGAAAAAAGTAAATTGCTGCATTTCACAGTCTATTTTCATTGTATCTTCCAATATATAAGGTCACTAACTGCAAATCTATTAAATAATCAGATTCTGTTACGGTAAAAGTCACCAAAAGAATAAAGATGAAAAGCAGTAATGCTATATATCATTAAGCAACTTAAATCAAATCCAATAATAACCAAAATGTCTGTGTTATGTACCACGGTTGTAATATGATTTAAGATGACACACGGGTTAATGACGTCAGTTACTCGAATCGCTTGAACGCGTTGGTTTTAACCGCGGTTTTGTTGCAAGTTGCTTATTTTAGAAAAGCGCGTATATAATTTCTGATTATATTTATGATCACTTAATAACCGGTGTTTTTTCTTCTACAGCAGAGTATGGAAAGTTTAAAAAACAAACCTTTCATAATATTAATAGGAGAAATGTTTTTTTTTTCAGAAAATAATTTTTAATGATGGGAACATTCATTGATTTAGCAGAAATGGTAGGAACAAGCAATGAAAAAAGATATTAGCAAAACCGTATATATGTGGACATTATCCAGTGAGCTTATATGGCCATATTTTAATATTCTTGTGGTATATGGCTACACATGATACATTGTTAAGCATAGCAGCTATATTTAAAGTTTCGCCAAAAACAGTAATGAGTATAATTAATAAGGTGCTCTACTTTATGCTACAACTGAGATCAACCTGTATCAAGTTTCACAAAAATGAAGCTGAAGTACAAAGAAAATATCCAACACCCGATAAAATTCTTACTTATCACATTTCAAATGATAACCAGAACAATTTTTCGGTGATAACTATGACATATAACAGCTGATTCATGACGTCACGGATTCCATAACCAAACTGATAACCACACTCATTTGAACGGATCGGCAAATACCAATCCAAAATGGTAAATATCATTTTCATTTGGTTATACGCTTGAATTTGATTTTAATGAGTTTTCGTATAAACCTTTCATTATTATTCTACTGGTGCGACAATTCAAAAAGTCATCAACAGCAGTTAGTGATGTTTGGCATAACTTGACAATCGGTAAAGACGCTTATGTCAGTGTTTACATAAAGTTGCAGCAGCAGACACAACAACCTCAATAATTTTAAGGCGTTGGCTTTATTTCTGTTTAAGACTTTAAAATTCACTAATGGTACAAATATTCAAGCCCAATAGAAGCACTTGCTTCAAGCTTGTACAGTTTGTCTTCTTTTGACGTATAGAACTTGAATGTTGACAGGCTTTTTCGCAAATAAATTTGAAGTTTGTGAGTTATTTTTAATTACCTAATCAAAATAGTAGTTTAAATGGTAGGAATTTTAGTTCTGTGTGTATCAAATTGAAATTTGAATACGCATCCAGGAATTATTCTCATACTTTATAATTTTACGAAAACCCATCAAATAAAGAGGTCCTGCAGTAACATTAAGCTTTCAGAAGCTTCCAATAAAGAACCCAGTGCCACTTGCCGTAACTGATGTTTTTGTGAGTTTATCACTAGAATGGAACTGCTATATTGGCTGAGACTAGTAGTGAAGAGGAACAAGATAATTCCCAAACGGAAAATTCTTTGCATGGCATTAAGACACCGCAAAAAATAATGTCCATGGATCCAGGCTTGCCAATCTAGTTGGCGCAGGAATATTGGAAAAAAAGATGTTCAGGTGTGAGACTTACAAAGTAAAGAAGAAGTGTAGACCTGCCAAATCTTATAAGCCTGTTGACTGTTGAACTTGTAAATTTAAATGCAGCAGCATTTTTAATAAACAAGACAGACTTAATATTTGTAAATACTTTTGGGGTCTCTCCAGTTATAATGGGTGATTTTTTTGCTAGTATCTTTTTGGCAACACTGTTTTTGACAGATGACGCGTGAATCGTGTCTTGTGTCATTGTCAAACTTGTTCAGTTTGGTCTATAATTTAACCATGAATCGACTTACGAATGAACAATGCTTGCAAATTATTGAATTTTACTATCAAAATTCATGCTCAGTTAAGTAGTGCATCGAGCACTGCTACTAATTTATGGACAATTTGGTCGGCCTACTGAGGGAGCTATTCGGAAGCTTGTGACTAAATTTCGAACCGAGTTTACATTATTGGACATTAAACCACCAACACGCAATCGTAGAGTGTGGACTGAACAAAATATTGCGGCTGTATCCGTCAGTGTTAGTGATGACCGTGAAATGTCAATTCGCCGCCGTTCGCAGCAATTGGGCCTCTGTTACTCCACTACGTGGAAAAATTTGCGACAGGATTTGGGTGTAAAACCTTATAAGATACAGCTGGTGCAAGAATTGAAGCCACACGACCTCCCACAACATTTCCAATTTGGTGAATGGGCGCTGGAAAAGTTGGAGGAAGATCCACATTTTTATCGACAAATTGTGTTCAGCGACGAAGCTCATTTCTGGTTGAATGGGTACGTTAACAAGCAAAATTGCCGCATCTGGAGTGAAGACCAGCATTGCAAGAGCTACCAATGCATCCCGAAAAAATCACTGTTTGGTGTGGAATATGGGCCGGTGGCATCATCGGGCCGTACTTCTTCAAAGACGACAATGGCCGGAACGTAACTGTGAATGGCGAGCGCTACCGTGCGATGATAACAAACTTTTTTTTGCCCAAAATGGAAGAGCTGGACTTGGCTGACATGTGGTTTCAACAAGACGGTGCCACATGCCACACCGCACACGATACAATGGCCCTATTGAGTGGCGAGTTCGGTGAATAGTTTATCTCACGTTTGGGGCCCGTCAATTGGCCGCCTAGATTGTGTGATTTAACGCCGTTGGACTATTTCTTGTGGGGCCATGTAAAGGCTAATGTCTACAGGGATAAACCAGCAACGATTGACGCACTGGAAGCCAATATTGAAGCATTTATTCGTGAGATACTGGCCGATATGTTGGAGAGAGTGTGCCAAAATTGGACCTTGCGCATGGGCCATCTAAAGCGGAGTCGCGGCCAACATTTAAATGAACAATTTTAAACATTAAATTATATCGACCGTTCTATCGACTCAAATAAAGATTTAATCGTTTTTTGAAATTTTTTGTGTTTTTTTGAAAATCAAATCCTATACCTCTTAAAAAGTCACCCGTTACAAGGCAAAAGGATTTTATTTTGAAATATGTAAATTTGAAATAACCAGCGGGACCTGGAGCAAACGTGCCACTGACCAAAAAGCAAAAGTGTAGTAGAGCATTCTATTTTACGAAAAATGAAACAAAGCACAGGGTATGGCAAACATTTTTTCAAAAAACATTAAATATAAGTAATAGTCCAATCAATAATGCTTTTGAAGGTAGTAAAGATGATGCTTTCACAGCAAATGATAAGCGGTGCAGGAAAACGCCTCATAATGAAACCAAAGACGAAGATGTTGCTTCTTTAAAACAGCACATTAATATGTTTCCTGTAGTGGAGTCACATTATTGCAGGAAAAACATAACAGTTATCCATCACTAAAATATATTTCTTTATACAAACAATATTGCATTGACAATAATAGAACTCCGGTAACTCACTCAGTGTACAGAAAAATCTTCTGCGCATCATTCAATCTGTCATTTTTTGTTCCGAAAAAAGATCAGTGTTCTCTGTGCAATAAACACTTAGATGCCAAACAGGCAGGAACACTAAATGGGGTACTTTAATTTTATTATAATCAACATATTTATCGGAATAATGAAGCTAATCTGGCCTAGGAAGAAGATAAAGCCCGAGCAAATGAAGATCCTACATTCATGTCCGCTACATTCGATCTGCAAAGAATTCTTCAAATACCGTCGGGTGAAGAATCACTTCGATACTATTCTATAAAACTTTGTATCAACAACTTATGTATTTACGAATGCAAACTACCTAGTGAGGCCTACTGCATACTCTGGTCTGAATTAAATGGAAAGAAAGGAAGTAATGAAATCGGCACTGCATTGATGCGGTGAATCTTGATACTTCCAGAGAATATTAACGAAATTTTGCTATTTTCGGATACTTGAGGAGTTCGAAATAAGAATCAACACATATCTGCATTGTTACTCCTTCTTACACAGACCATTCTAATAGCTGTTATCGAACAAACATTTTTGGAGTCGGGACATTTCTTCATTGAAGTGGACAGCATGCATAGTGCGATCGAAAGAGAAAAGAGACATGTTAGTCTTAATTCTGTGCTGTAGTGGATTAACTTAATGAAAAGTTATAGTCATAGTGGACCCTACAATATTTTAAATGTACTCAAACGAGGTCGTCAAAATACAATTGTAGATGTAAAAAAGCTTATAAAGGTATCCTGCCCATCTGTGTTCCTAAAAAGGAAGATTTTTTAAAATACGTCACAAAAATATTATATCAGAAGAAACTAAATCCCTCACTACCAACTGCCAACAACTTGTCAGATCACACTACGGAACCTGGCAAAGAACAAGCTGAAGAAGACGATGAAAAAGAAGTAGGACAGAACGTGGCTGATTTATACTGCATTTATTTATGTGTATCTTTTTTATTTGTCAAAAAAGATATTATTCCGTATTTTAATTTTTAATTTGTGTAATAAAATCACTAATTACATGCAGCAATGTTTTTTTTACTAGTAATCGCTAACTGACTTTTTTCTTTTTTTTTTGTCGATCGGTTTGGCATTGGAAGTTATCCATTTGCCACAGATGTAACTGACTTTTTTGTTTTTAATTACCCTTTATAAAAGATAAAGTTGCAGTTTTAGTGCTAAATTCGATGAAGCAGTTAATTAGCGGAACGTAGAAACACAGTTTGTGTGAAAAAAATTAAAAACTGATTTAATAAATAGAAATATAGTTTCAAATTGATTTATCTCAAATTTCGATAACCGCTTTAGTGGCTTTTTGCAGGAATATGACGAATATGCCAAATGCTAAACCTAGCCCCTATTTAACCGTCTTTGTTGCAAGCCTTTTCCGATATCCCAATGCTGATGTTCGAATTTGTAATGCATGGTATTTCCTTACCTTGAATCGGGATTGCACTCAAAAGTATACCAACACCCAAAAATGAAACGGCCCCTATCTTGGAGCACAATAAATAACAAATTATGAACGTTTGAACTATCCCATTCCATGAGTCATTGATCATCCAGATAGACTGCTGAAACGTTTCCACATCTTTGGTGATCAATGTAACAATGTTCCCAAGTGTGATATCGGCAATTGCTGAAGGAGTCAACTTCAGACATTTTCTGTACAACAGTGATGAAAATGAAGTCTTCAGTTCAATGCTAAGTTGCCTGACGTATATTTCATAGTTGTGCCAATAGATGCAAGAGGTCACGTTGAGAAAGAGAACTGTCCCAGCGTAAAAGCAAGCGTCACTTTTTGGAATCTCTGTTTGGCCTTCTTTAAAGTAAGCTACTAGGTTTGCTATGGCATATGGCTCGACTACACTACAACCAAGAAAACAAACATAAGCAATTTAATTTACTTTACTTTCATTTAGTAAGAACTTAATTGCTACAAACACATTATGTATACCTACGGGGCAGTAAAATCACTCTTGTTAATATTTGTTATTTGTCGCGCATCGTATGCCAGCACGTTCTCAGCACGTAGAGTATTAGTTAGAGGCAGCAGCACAGCGTCGCAGTATAATTGTTTAGTGCTGGATGTTGCGATGATCTGTGTATTGTTTAGCATTCGAGTTCGAATCCCTAGTAATATTATAGATGAGAGGATGTGGATGTTTGTTACTCAAAAACGTTAAAATAAGCAAAGGCTACGTTTTACCTTGGTAAATAACTTTGAAATATCTATTTCACGGGTTACAGCCCAAACGGCTTAATGGAATTTGACGTGAGGTGTCTACACAGAAGCGCTCAGTCGCTCGTCCGACCGAAATGAGTGAGGAATATAAATGAGGCATCTGTATTTACAGCATTTCCGTTCCGAGCTAGCAGCCGTTGCGAGTGTATACTTGCACGACTGCGACCCACCCGGACATATTGAGCAATCTTATTGCAATTTTCATTGCGATAGATTGGTTGTTTGCCATCTACGATGGCAAAAATTGAGAAGCTGGTTAACCAGCTGAAAGAAAAGAAGGATGCTTTCGCCATGCTGGAAGAGCAGATGCGAAATCTGCAAGAAGCCTTCTTGCAGGCCAGACAGGAGATCGAGGACCTGAGCGGGAAGCTCCGCAAGGCCAAGAAGAAGGCCGCGAAGAAGACAGGAGAAGAGGAGGAAGAGGACCAGGGAGAGGAGGACCAGAAGCCTACGGAGAACTTGGACATGGATGCCCAAGATATCGACGTAGAAGCCGAGAAGAGGACGGACGACACCGACTTCAGTGTCGCAACCAGACGGAGGAAGCGGGTGCGAGTTTCCTCCTCCGAAGAAGAAGAAGAACTCAGGCAGCCAAAGATGCCAGCTGCCACCAAGAAGAGAGGTCCTAGAGCAACCAGGACCACCGAGGCCCCCATGGCAGGAACAGGAGTTCCGCCAATCAATATCGAGGGCACCGCTGATTGGTCATCCTTGAGTAGGATGATGAACAGCAAGGGGATTCAATTCTCCAAAGCGAGGACGGCGGGTACCAGTGTGAAGGTATTCACAAATACACCAGCTGACTACCGTCAGCTAGTCGAACTGCTGGAATCCATCAAGCGGCCCTTCTTCACATATCAACTGAAGGAGGACAGGATGGACCAGAGGGTCATTCGTGGGCTACCCAGAGAGATGTCAGTCAATGACATCAAAGAGGATCTAGTGAGCCAAGGCATCGCAGACGCCGAGGTTCAGCAGATGACCTCAAGGACCACAAAGAAGCCACTTCCGCTCTTCCTCGTCAAGACGAAGATGCCGGAAAAGCTTGCAGAGATCCAGAGGCTGGCCATGCTCACGGTCGGCTTCGAGAGGAAGAAAAAGTCTTCCGAGCCCAGCCAATGTTACCGCTGCCAGCGGTACGGGCACACACAGCGGAACTGTAGTCTCGCTGAACGGTGCGTTAAGTGTGGAGAGGACCACAACAGCACCAGCTGCAGTCTGCCAGCGCCGCTAACAGGGCAACGAAACGCCAAGTGTTGCCTCTGTGGAGAAGGCCACCCCGCCAACTACAAGGGATGTAGTAAGGCGCCGAAGAAAGCTGCTTCTGCCCCCAAAGCAGTCCCCACCACAAATAGGACTTCTTACGCTCAAAAAGCGAAGAAGCCTATGTCCACTTCTGCCCCAGCAGCCGCCACTGCTACTGGAACTACTGCGCAGAAGCAACACGGCGATGACAGACTGCTAGCAATGATGCAAGCCATCATAACCCGCCTGGATGCACTCGAGGCCAAGATGCAAGACAAGCACTAGACCCGAAATGTCTACAGGTCAAAACGTAGAATCTCTACGCATTATCTCCTGGAACATCAACGGATTCAGGGCACGGAAACCAGAAATCCAGGAGATACTAGACCAGTACCAACCAGAGGTGATGGCCATCCAAGAAACGAAGTTGGATGCTGCCCATAGTCTGACGTTCCCGCGGTACGAGACGTACCGCTACGACAGAAGGGGCAGAGGTGGAGGAGTCGCATTACTCGTCAAACGTACCTTGACGAGTCATGTCCTCGACGATGCCGCAGACATAAATGGGGACGGAATCACGGTCCAGGTCCATCACAACCACCGTCCCTACAGAATCACCTCCCTATATGTGCCACCAGGGGAGGCCCTAGACGAAGATGACATCGCTGACCTCCTGAGAGGCCCAGGAGCACGCATAGTCATCGGAGATCTAAACTGCAAGTCTCCGGCTTGGAACAACAACGTCGAAGACAGGAATGCAAGGCAGCTCCAGGAACACGTCGATGCCCTGGCGGGGGTCATCGTCGGTCCGGAGCAACCAACCTACATTCCATTCGGCCTTGGGCGACCTGCGGTACTGGACATAGCCATCCTCCGCAACATCAGAGAGGAGTTCGAGATAGAGACCCTAGTGGAAGGATCGTCGGACCACAATCCGATTCTACTAACACTTGGCACAGGGTCTAGAACTCGAGATAGCTTGAGCACCAAACGGACGAACTGGAACCTGTACAAATCCAACGTCCAAAGGAACATCACTCAAATTCCAACCATCCGATCAGCGGAGGAACTGGACAACGCAGTAGAGGAGCTGGAGAATGCTGTCCTGCGAGCGCACGAGGACAGCACCCGCTCCGAGACTACGGCAGTTCCTAGACACCTAAATGGTCCAGCACCGCACCATATTAGGCACCTGATCAGGGAGAACAGAAGACTCAAGCGAGAACATCTCCAGCTGTTGACAGAGGAGTCGAGAGTTGCGCGAAACAGAGCATCGTTAGCTCTGAAGAACGCACTCGCGGAACTCCAAAACAACAGATGGAATGCAGCCTGTGCAGAACTAGAGACCCAGGATGGTACGGCCTGGTCTATGCAGCGAAAATTTCGTCGTCAGCGCACCATGATCCCCATCTTC